GCTGACAAAGTAGACCGGGAGCTGGCAGCCGTCTCTTTCAGCAAGAAGGACAACACTTAAAGCATGATCTGAGATGGCCAGATACATGTAAAGTACTTCTTTGGGCAAAGGACTGACCAGCCTCGGCAAGGAATGCAAATGAACTTTCAATTTTTGCAAGGCCGCCTTAACATCCGGCCCCCATTCAAACCTTGCCTTCTTAATGGCCTGGAAGAAGTATAAGCATTTGTCGCCTGATCGACTTAGAAATCTTCCCAAGGTCGCCAGACAACCTGTTAGCTTCTGAACCTCTCGGACGGTGCGAGGCGACTGCATGTCGATGACCGCCTGCACTTTCTCAGGGTTCGCCTCTATTCCTCTCTGATTGATAAGGAATCCGAGAAATTTCCCAGACTCAACCCCAAATACACATTTCTTGGGATTGAGCATGACATGGTGCCGCCTGAGTGTGGCGAAAGTTTCTCGGAGGTCCGACAGATGATCTATCTGAAGCTTAGACTTAACGATCATATCATCAATGTATGCCTCGACGTTCATCCCAATCTGATAAAAAAACACAGTATTTATTATTCGCTGGAAGGTGGCCGGGGCATTCTTCAGACCAAACGGCATGACCGTGTAACAGTATAACCCTTGATCAGTGACGAAGGCCGTCTTCTCCTGATCTTTCTTCCATAGAGGAATTTGATGGAAACCAGAGTAGGCGTCCATAAAGCTCATCAGAGCATGGCCGGCTGTTGAGTTGACCAGATTATCAATTTTAGGCAGAGGGTAGCTGTCTTTTGGGCATGCCTTGTTTAGGTCCGTGTAGTCCACACACATTCGCCAGGTACCATTTGGCTTTTTTAACAAGCACTACATTTGCAACCCAGTCTGGGAAGTAGCATTGCCGAATGAACCCTTGTTTAGGTCAGGGCGCAAGTCGTCTAGGATTAGGTCCGTATTCTCACCAGCCGGCTGAGGGCGGAATTCATCTGACCGCTCCTCTGCCGATGATTGCTATTTTCTCTCTTTTCTTGCGGCCCCCATATGAGCAGCCTTTCTTTTCTTGCCTCCTGCTTCTTGAACAGCCGCACTCTCCTTGACATTGTCAAGGTGTGTTTTTCCACCACTTGACCCAGCGGCCATGACAGTGGGCTTGATATCTGAGAAATAGCACTCTCGGCCCATCTTCTGATCTCCCGTTAGGGAGCTGACTGTTCCATCATCCCTCTCAAATTTGAGCAACATAAGAGACGGGATTATAACAGCCTTGGAATTATTTATGGTTGGTCGTCCTAGAATCATGTTGTAGGCCGAGAGTTCCTCAACTACCAGGAACCGGACCACCATGTGTCGACCTTCCCCTTTTTCACCCAGGCGGATGGGTAAATCCACTCGTCCCACTGGGAGGACGACTCCTCCTCCAAACCCTACTAGAGGGTGGGATACCGGATGTATGAAATCAGTCTGGTATTTCAGCTTTGACAGACATTTGCTACTGATAAGATCTGAGGAGCTGCCGGTATCTATAAGGATTCGGCCAACTCTCTAGTTGGCCACTTTACACTCAATAACAATAGGGTCGTCATGTGGCCCCCTTACCCCTCCTAAATCTTCTTCAGTGATGACAATTTCTAGAAATGAATATTTGAAGGGTCGTTCTTGGTGAACGGAATTGACATCTAGCCGCCTGATATTGTCCTTGTTGCCCCTGATAGTGGTGCCGCCTCCTGAGAAGCCGCCTGCAATGGTGTAGACGACTGCATCATCTGTCGGCCTGTTGATTCTTTTTGGCCGACTGCTTTTTCGAGGAAGTGTTCCCCTTAGATTTCTTGACATAAGAGTCAAGATCGCCTTGTTTAGCCAGGCGGTCCAGATACCGCATGAGACTGATGCATTCGTTGGTTTGATGACCAATATCTTCATGATAATCACAGAATTTTTCTTGGTTCCGGTTGCTCGCAGAACCCTTCCTGGGGGCCGGCTACTCAATTGAGATCCGTCCCTTGATCTCTTTTAGGATTGCTTGGCTATCCTTGTTAAACGCATACTTCGGGGAGTATGGTTTGAATTCTTTCTTCTTCTTCTGGGCCGGCTGTTTAGAGGAATCAGCCGCCCAGACCTCTTTTTTCTTTTTCTCATCTTTGTTGGACGACTGCTTCTGTCGCCCTTCTTTCTTGTCGAATCTCTTTCCGTCCGACTGCTTTCCTGTACTAGAAAGATCGGTCGCCAGTATATAGGCTTCCGCTTCAATCAAGGCTTCTTGAAGAGTCGCCACCCTCTTTCGAACCAAATCAAATTTGAAGGTCGACCCGTCCTTGAGACCTCTGAAAAAGTCAGTATAAGCTACCTCATCCGGCAGCCCTTGAATCTGTATTCTCATCAGGTTAAACCGCCTGATGTAAGAACGAATCCCCTCCTTCTCACCCTGCTGAATTGTCCCTAAATCAAGGGTCGTCTTCTTCGCAGGTATGTTCATGGAAAAGTTGGAGGTGAATAAGTAAGCAAGCGTCCTGAAGTTATTCACACAACCAGTCGGCAGGTTGCCAAACCATTGTTGTGCAATTCCTTTATGATTCGCTGGAAAACACTTGCACCAAGTGGGATCATCCAACCCTTGAAGGTACATCAGGTTAGTGAATGCCATCAAATGGTCTTCTGGGTTAGTAGTGCCATCATAGGCGCCTACTAACACATTTTTCACTTTGGTCGGCTGAGCGGCTTCATTAATTTCCTTGGAGAAGGCCGATGGCTGTTCCCCAAGTCTAAGCAACCGTAGCTGCCAGTCCATAGGTTGGACATTTTTTGTCGCCTGTCCTCCAAACAGAGGTGGCTGCAGAAAATATTGTTGTTGCGGTACAAATGGTAAGTTTGGTACCGCCTGGTCACTATGAAAACCAGACTGACGGGAGGTACCGCCTGTTTGACTCATGATGTGACTGAGTATACCTCATAGAGGTATGGCGCAGACTGTCTTGGAAATTCGAAGTAGAGGCCGACTCTGACAGTCGGTCATTCTTCTTCTGCTCTAGTAATAGTCGAGCGTCTATGTATGTTTTCTTCGAACCATCCGCCTGTATATGACGAACGGGCTTCCTCTTTCCTGGAGTAGGAAAGCGGTACTTTGCAAAATCAAGCACAGGCGGCTCCCACTTCCTAGAGTTAGGATGAGGGGTCGCCTCTCGTCCTTGAACAGGCTTCCTCTTGCCTGAAGAGGAAGGTTTCTTAACCGACTGCTCCTTGGTCAGAGCAAGCGTCTTTTTGTTGAGCAGTTCCTGAATCTCTCCCTTGAAGCCCCTCATGAAGGTCATGAGTTCGTTTCTTGTAATGGGAGCAGACCCGTCAGCCGGCTGCTGCTGAGCAGGCGGTGCGCCGACGGGATCACTGAGTCCAGTTTGAGGATCTTCCCGTTCTCTCCTTTCAGTATGACGGGTGCGCCGGGCCCTTAGGGTCCCGTCTGAAGCTGTATGAGCTTCAAATTCAAACTCTTTTTTAGTATGATGGTCCGACTGAACTTGAGGATCGTCCAGGGGACGCCTCTCTTCAGGAGTCGGTACAGACGTGAATGCCATCTCAAAAGTACTCTCCCCACAGACGGCGCTAAAATGTTTCGGGGTTTTTTGATGTCCCGCGGGAGAGTTACAATTCCGAGACTGGAACCGGACGCCTGTACCTGCAAAAAAAACGGATGCTCCGAATGATTGGAGATCCGCCTCCAACGGTCAAGTTAGAGCTTGATTAAGGAGTAATTCATGCGGAAAAAAATGCAATTTAGTCTCTCTAGGTGAGAGTGTTTAATGTGCGTAATCCCCTTTAATGATGATTAATGAAGGTATTTATAACCTTGGGAAGCGTGCCACTCTCTAGGTTTAGGGTAAACCTAGGGCTGACTGGGCCTCCAAACAGGATTAGGCCTTGTTGTTTGATTTTCCCTTGTGTCATGGGAAGGACACGTGTCGCGTCGCAATTGGTCCATGGTGGACGAATATATGGTTGACACGTGGCAGGCTCCTATTGGCCCATGTGGCGGACACATGGCGGAACCTGACTGGTCCACTTGTCAAATGGTTATTGGTGGATAAAAATCCCCTAATCAAGAGTGATTCTTGGTCCTCACATTCCCAAGGTGACGAAATGGCAGGACCACAAGCGGATGTTTTATTTCGTGAGTTCGGTAATCTGGAGGATTATGAGCTCACCGGTGGGATATTGCTACCCGTCACGGAAACTAACTTCACCATCCATCCTCAATACACTCGAATGGTTCAAGCGGAGCAATTCTCGGGTTCGCCATGTGAAGACACCATTGAGCATCTCGATAGGTTTCTTGAACTTTGTGCCATGATACAAATCAACCAAGTTTCTTAAGAATACATTCGGATGCACCTATTTCGGCAATCTCTTGCGGGGGAGAGCAAAGAAGTGGCTCAAGCAAGTCAAGCCTAATTCTCTCACAACATGGAGGGAAATTGTCCAAGCATTTTTTAAAAGGTTCATCTCCGAAGAAAAAAACCGCCGACATGAGGAGGAAGATAGCATCTTTTGAACAAGAGGCGGAGGAAAGACTTAGTGAAGCTTGGGAGAGGTTTAAAGAGTTGGTGCAAGCATGTCCTCACCATGAATACAATCAAAGCTTACTCATGAGCTTCTTCTATGATGGTTTGGAACCGATGTCTCGAGCCAATTTGGATGCGGGGGCGGGTGGATAATTGATCAAAGTCCCTCAAAATCAAGTTGAAGCAACAATTGAAGAGGTAGTAAAAAACTACTCTTGGGGAGGAAGAAGGAGGAATGCGCCAAAGAAAGGTGGGAAGTATGAGTTGGAGAAAGTCGATCAATTGCAACATCAAATTGAGCATTTGGGAAAAGGGCTTGCAAAGTTGAATACTAGTGTCTATAGTGGGGCGAGCTCCTCCCAAGTCAACTCTTTCTCTTGTCAAAATTGTGGTGGTACAAACCATGACACATCCTATTGTGGAGGTTTAAGCCCGGAGCATGTAGTCAAGGCTCATAACAAGATGGTTGATTCACAACTAGCACAATTGGCCAAGAGGTTTCCTATCAACTCATCTTCCACTTTACCCGGACAATCACAAACCAACCCTTCCAATATTGTGAAACCCGACTCTTGCAAGGCAATCACATTGAGATCGAGTACATCTTATGAGGGTCCCGAGGAAGAGGATGGCAAGGAAAAGAAGGAAGGAGAAGAGAAGATGAGTGAAGATAAAGAAGTTGAAGATGAGAAGGTTGATGAGAAAGAGAAGAATATGGAGAAAAAGAAGTCTAAGGATGTGGTGACATCCTCAACTTCTAGTGAGGATAAAAATCTTGATGGACCGGTTCCTTTTCCCGGTCGGCTTGCGGAGAGAAAATTGAATGACAAATTTGCAAAGTTTCTAAGTGTGATGAAAAACTTACACATTAACCTCCCTTTCATTGAGGTTTTCACACAAATTCTCTCATACTCCAAGTTCTTGAAAGACATTCTCACCAACAAAAGGAAGCTCAATGATGAGCTTATCACTCTTCCCCATCAATTGAGTGCACTTGTTCAACACAAAATGCCCAAGAAGCAAAAGGATCCGGGAAGCTTCACCTTTCCAGTCAAGATTGGGAACATGGAAGCTAGGGGTGCCTTAGCCGACCTTGGAGCAAGTGTTAGTTTGATCCCTCTATCCATTGCTCAAAAGCTTAACATTGAGATGATCCCCACAAGGAAAATTATTCAATTGGCTGATCGTTCGGTGAAGCTACCTTGTGGTGAGCTTGAAGATGTCCCTATTCAAGTTGGGCATATCTATGTGCCTTGTGACTTTGTAGTGATGGATATGGAAGAAGATGTGGATACACCTTTGATTTTGGGCTGTGAAGCTCTTAAGACCTTAGGGGCGGTAATCAATTGCAAGAACAATACCATTACATGTGAGGTAGCCGATGAAAAAATTGTCTTTGAATTCTCCAAGCTACTCAAGACCCCCATGGTTGAGAAGTGCTATAGGGTTGATGTTGTCAATGAAGAGCTAGATCGTTTGGGAAGGGTTATGATGAGTCCTCAAGATCCAATGTTTGAAGCTATCACATGTGAGGAAGAGTCCTCAAGATCCATTGAAGAAGCCAAAGAGGAGGAAGCGAGTGAACCTAAGCATGATGAGCTAGAACATGAGGAGGAAAAATTGGAGGAGAGTTCTAAGCCTCCTCCCTAGGTAGAACTCAAACCCCTTCCCCCTTCTTTGAAATATGCTTACCTTGGAAATGAAAGGGAATACCCTATTATTGTCAATGCTTCCCTTAATGGTCTTGATTTGGAAAAATTGATTATTGTTTTGAGAAAGTATAGAAATGTGATAGGGCATAGCATTGATGATATCAAGGGCATTAGCCCTACTTTATGCATGCATCGTATTCACCTTGAGGATGATCACTCCACCTCCATTGAGCCTCAAAGGAGGTTGAACCCCAACCTCCAAGAGGTTGTCAAGAAAGAAATTTTGAAATTGCGCGAGGCGGGTATAATCTATGCTATCTCCGATAGCAAGTGGGTTAGCCCGGTTCACGTGGTTCCCAAAATGGCTGGAATGACCATTGTCAAGGGAGAAGGAGGAGAGGAAATCTCCACCTAGACGGTGACCGGGTGGAGGATGTGCATTGATTATAGGAAGTTGAACAAAAACACTAAGAAAGATCATTTTCCTCTCCCCTTCATGGACCAAATGTTGGAAAGATTCTCCCATCATGCTTTCTTTTGCTTTTTGGATGGATATTCCGGCTTTTTCCAAATTCCTATCCATCCAAATGATCAAGAGAAAACTACTTTTACATGTCCATATGGGACATTTGCATACCAAAGAATGCCCTTTGGGTTATGCAATGCCCCGTCAACTTTCCAACGATGCATGACCTCCATTTTTTAGGAAATGCTTGAAAATGAGATTGAAGTTTTTATGGATGATTTTAGTGTTGGTGGCTCATCTTTTGACACATGTCTTATTAACCTTGAAAAAGTTTTGAAAAGGTGTCAAGAGACGAGTTTAGTGTTGAATTGGGAAAAATGCCATTTTATGGTCGAGGAAGGTATTGTCCTAGGCCATAAAGTATCAAAAAAGGGCATTGAAGTAGACTCGGCTAAGGTTTCGGTGATTGCTAAGTTGCCCCCTCCTACCTCCGTCACGGGAGTGAGAGCTTTTCTTGGGCATGCTGGTTTTTACCGGAGGTTTATCAAAAAAATTTCATCAATCACCAAGCCCTTAACCAAGTTACTCAAAAAGGATGTTGTGTTCAATTTTGATGAGGCTTGCCTTGAGGCATTCCAAAAGCTCAAGGAAGCCCTCATCTCCTCTCCTGTTGTGCAAGCTACGGATTGGAGCTTGCCTTTTGAGCGAATGTGCGATGCAAGTGATTTTGCAGTAGGTGTCGTACTTGGACAAAAGAAAGAAGGAAGATCTTGTGTCATCTACTATGCAAGTAGAACGCTCGACGAAGCTCAAAGGAATTATACCATAACGGAGAAGGAAATGCTAGCGGTTGTCTTTGCCATGGATAAGTTCCGGTCCTACCTCATATGCTCAAAGGTGATAGTCTACACAGATCATATAGCGATCCGCTATCTTATGAACAAAAAGGAAGCGAAACCGCGTCTCATCCGTTGGGTTCTTTCGCTCCAAGACTTTGACATGGAGATGAGGGATAAAAAGGGAACGGAGAATTATGTGGCAGATCATCTATCTAGACTTCCTTTTGAGAATAAGGAAGAGGTGCCTATCAATGAAGAGGTAGGGTTTGAGACCCTCATGGCCATGGCATCAGCATCAAGCCCTTGGTACGCGGAAATTGCCAACTATTTAGCATGTGGAGTCGTTCCCCCGGAATTCTCCTCTCAACAAAAGAAAAGATTTTTCAAGGAAGTGAGGAGATATTTTTGGAATGATCCTTATTTGTTCAAGCAATGTGGAGAAAGCCTCTTTCGGAAATGTGTTCCGGATCATGAGATAGAAGGAGTTCTTGAACATTGCCACTCATTGCCATGTGGAGGGCATGGAGGAGTTGAATAGAGCGTGGCAAAGATCTCCCAATCTCTTCTTTGGTTGCCAACAATGCACAAGGATGCCCGCAAATTTGTCTCACGGTGTGATAAATGCCAATGAAGTGGTGGCATAACCAAAAGGGATGAAATGCCTCAACTAAACGTTTTGGAGGTCAAGCCATTCGATGTTTGGGGTGTCGACTTCATGGGGCCTTTTGTCTCTTCTTGTGGAAATCTTTATATCTTGGTGGCGGTGGACTACGTGACCAAGTGGATTGAAGCTATACCATCCCCCACCAATGACCATAAAGTGGTGCTCAAGCTTCTCAAAAAACTCATATTTCCACGGTTTGGGGTTCCTAGAGTGCTAATCAGCGATGGTGGTTCTCATTTTGCCAAGAAGCAATTCGAAGCTCTCCTCAAAAGGTACGAGGTTCATCACAAGGTTGGTCTCCCTTACCACCCTCAAACACAAGGACAAGTGGAAGTGTCCAATAGAGAGATCAAAAACCTTCTTTAGAGGATGGTGAACAAGTCTAGAAAAGATTGGTCTCTCAAGCTCGATGACACGCTTTGGGCTCTAAGGACGGCATACAAAACCCCCATTGGCACGACCCCCTACTGGATGGTGTATGGGAAGGCTTGTCACTTGCCGGTTGAGTTGGAATATAATGCTTGGTGGGCGATCAAAGAGCTCAACATGGACATGTCCTTGGCGGGCGAGAAGAGATTGCTTAAGCTCAATGAACTTGAGGAGCTCCAATATGATGCTTACGATAACTCGAGGCTCTACAAGGAGAGGACTAAGAGATGGTACGACCGACATATAAGGAACAAGAGCTTCAAGGTTGGAGACAAGGTGTTGTTGTTCAACTCTAGGCTACGGTTATTTCCCGGAAAACTAAAATCCAGGTGGTCGGGGCCTTTCACAATTTCGAGGACTACTCCTTACGGGTCTTTTGAGTTAGAAGCGGAGGGGAACAAGTTCATGGTTAACGGCCACCGTTTGAAGCTCTACCATTGCAATGATCAAGTTGGCATGATTGAGTGCATGAGGCTCAATCCGCCGGATCCTAAGCCACTTCCTTGAATATGATGTGAATGGTCAAGCTAATGACCTTATAAAGAAGCGCTTCTCGGGAGGCAACCCGAGTTCTCAACTCTTTTGATTTTTTGTTTCTTGTATTTGATAAGTCTTGGACGATTTTTCTTTAATCACTTATTGTGTGTATGTTTGTTCTTCCATTAGGTACTTGGATCTTTGGGATTTTAATCTATTAAGTTGAGCTTGGAGAGGAGAAGGAGAATAGAAGAATTGAAAGTGGAGATGCTAGGAGAAACCCTGGAGAGGGCGTGCACAGAAGACCCGCGGGCGTGGCCCATAGGCCCGCGGGCACGGAGAAAAGGTTTCAGAATTTAAAAGAAAGGAAAGATGCATTTGAGATGCCCGAGAGAGGGCGCGAACAGGAACCCCGCGGGCGCGGCATATACTCTTGCGGGCGTGGACAGGCACAAGCGCAGGCGCGCATCTCTCCTCCGCGGGCGCGGCAGTCAGCAGTTCAGAATGTCATAAAGTTGGAATGCCGGACCCGCGGGCGCGGCATACAAACCCGCGGGCGCGGACAGGGTATGCCGCGGGCGCGGCCCTTCAGAGCTGCAACTTCTCCTTGAACTCTCAGCCATATGCCCGAATTCCTTTTTCACCCAAATCAGTTTTTTCCCTCTTTCTCTCTCTACTCCTCACTCCATTCCAAGCCCTAACCCATTCTTCATCAAATTCCTCCCCAAAATCATCAAAATCCATCAAATTTCATCACTTTACTTGCAATTTCTCAACAAAATCTCAATTTCCACCATCAAAAACCCAAAAATCTCGGTACTACTTCTTGTGAAGGATTTGGTTCCACCATTGAAGGGTTCTTGGAGTGGGCTTTTCTTCTTCTTCAAAGGCTAGTAGGAGTACTCATTTGAATTCATTGTTGGTATAAATTTCTCTTCTACTCTTTATTTCCTTTGGATTTGAAGTATATGCTTGTTTGAGAAAATTTCATGTTTGTTTGAGAAAATTTCATGTTTGTGATTTTGCATGTTGAAATTATTGATGGTTGTACTCCTATTATATATTCATTTATCATCTTGACCATTATTGATTGTTAAGTTGTTGTTTGTGATAATTGTCTCTCCATATAGATTTCCTTGTTGTGAGTTGTTCTTGGTAATTACTTGGAGGTGTTCTTTGTGGTGTTTGATTGGATTCGAAAGTTGTCGCGGTTGATCTTGGTGTGGCTTATTGAGGAGAATTTCTTGGTATTAGTATATTTGTGTGGTAAAAATGGTGTTTAGTTCAAAGAAAAGAAAGAGTGGGAAAGAACTTCAAGGTTCATCCTCCTCAAAACCCCAACAAAATGAACAAACACAAACCGCTCCACCACCTCTACCACCCCTCAAATTCCACAATAAAAACCACAAACCCATCTACGACAACCTCCTAAACAGGAATTTGAGACAAACCAAGCATTACCACCATCCCACCGCCACCAAGCTTGGCATCGACGAGGATTGTTGGTTCTTGTTCAACAACCTCGGGCTCGGTTCCTTTGTGTCAAGTGCATATCGAACCTACAAAGAGCCTACCCTAGAGTTTCTTGCTTCTTTCGAAAGTCGTGCCGCAGGGGATAATGATCTCTCCATCTCCTTCCAGCTCTTTAACAAAAAAGAAACCTTCACCCTCCGCCAGTTTAACGAACTACTGGACTTCAACCCCGATGCCGATATGTTCTTCCCCGAGCATGCAGGCCTCCATGCTTATGAGCCTCTTCATTGTTGGAAGGTCATTTCGAGAATGGACGCTTTCAACTCCAAGTACTCTTTAGCCAGCCAGATCATGCACCCAGCCATCAGACTTCTGCATCGAATTCTCGGGTACATGGTCTTTAATAAACAAGACTTGGGGAAGATTACAACTGAGGAAATCCGGATATTATGGCTAGCTACGCAGCCGGAGATTGGGCATAGAATGAACTTCAGGTTTCTTTTCACTAAGTGTATCGAAGGTGTCCTCTTGGGCACAAGGAAGGGGGAAATCCATTTTGGGGGAATGGTCACTCGGATAGCCGAGAAGTTGGGGCATTTGGCTAAGCTTGAATCTTGCACCCCCGTGGGGAAGAGTGATGGGAGTGATATTTGGCTCGACCTCGATCAACTAAAAACTATGAAATTCATTGCAGATACCGAGGATCGAGGAAGGACTTGGAGCTTACTTGTCTCCCATGAACATCATTGTTTCCTTCCCAAGCCGGAATTCACTTCCTTCACAAGGGAAGGAGTAAATTATCCATGGTGTGTAAAGAAGGACTCGGGTGTCCTTCCTAGTGCAAGAATGGTTATGGGTGAAGGGTCCGGTCAAAGCCATGAAAGTAAAGAGGATGAGTTCCCACAACAACAACAACAACAACAACAACAACAATAAGGAAGAAGGCAACAACAACAACATCATCAACCCGACTACCAACAACAAATGGAGGCAATGAGAGCCCAAATGGAAAGCATGCAACTCGGCATGCAAGGTATGTTTGCTTCCCACCAACACCTCTCTTACCAAACCAACGCTTTATATGATTTGAGTGTACGTAGAGGGGATGTAACCCCCCAGTCAACTACCCATGTGTGGCGGCCCAACAAGGGCCCGTGCCATCTTGGGGGTGGGGGGTGACAACCAACCTACGTACCCTTATTGGCAGGGTCCCTCGGACCCCAATGTGCCCAGGCGTGATTTCCCCGATGAGTCCGGTCATTATGATTACCGGGTTTCGGGAGGGAGTGATTACAGGGGTGATCCTAACTACCCCTATGTTGATCCCTCTCACCCCGCACCCCTTGTTCAACCCGAGCCACATGACCAGTTATCTGCATCCCAACTTAACCTCTTCAAAGGTCATTATGGGTGGCCACCTGGCTACTCCGGAGGTTGGGACCCCTACGGCCCCCCCTCGGGTTTCACTTATGATAGTTGGAATGCGGATAACGATGGTGCCGACCCTAGTGGCCATTAGTTTCCCCCTTGTTCTTTTTGTTCCCTCCCTTTGTTGTCCTTCCCCTTTATTACATGTCCTTGTGTCGCATCGAGGACGATGCTTTACTCTAGTGTGGGGGGGGGGGGGGATGTTTGAGTCAAAGGAGATTGTTGGGAATGCTTGAGCTAAGTGTGGGGGAAGGAACCTAGGACTCAAGGGACTATTTAAGGGTTTTGGGTGTAGGTGTCGTTGGTAGCGTTGTTGTTGTTTGGTATCTATGATGTCCATTTCTATGATGATGATGATATGATGATAATGTTATGATGATGATGATTTTATGATGATGGTATGTTTGGGTAGTAGGTCATACCCAAAGAATTGAGTTCATTGATTTTATTTCTCTCTCTAGTACTAACTTTCTTTTCTTTGTAGTGCTTGCCTTGTTTTTCTTTGTTTTTCTCTCTCTTGTAGCTTGGAAGAAATTGGAAGCGACACGTGGAGGCACGGTAAATTGCATGGTTTCTTTATTCTTTCTTCAAGAGACATGGGTGAGATCTTTCCTTTACTTTTCTTTTCTCTTCTCGTGTCGTGTTTAGTTTAGGATTTAGCTTAGGAAGGAGTTGAATGGTTCGAGGATATTTGCATGCGGTTACAAGGAACCTGGGATCGTTGGTATTGAGACCGAACGATCACTTGTATGTCGATTGGGATTTATTTGAATCTTTAAGCCTCTTATATGAACCTTCTTGATTCCCTCTTTCTTTTGTTCTACTTCCTTTTGTGTAATAAGCGTAATTATGGCATGATGATATGGTTGTGTTTTGGAACTTGCTTGCTACATTTGGACTCTATCTCCGTGATGATGCATCCTAGAAAGTTTGTCCTTTTTCTTAACTGTGTGATGAGATGCACATTTCGAGATTGTTGTTGATTGAATTAGACGAGCCTTAGTTAAGGTAGCAAGGGTAAGAACTTGTGAGGGCGTTTGAACCCCTAGTTCATGGGATGTGGTAAG